GAACGAGAACCACCGCAGCGCGGCGGCCAACTCCAACCTCTGGGCCGAGAGCAAGGACCACCATACATGGAACCAGCAGCCATGGGCCCAGGCCGTCTCGGCAGTCGCTGCCGTGGCCGGCACAGACGGCAGATCCGGATGGTCACCAGTCGACCAACAGCGCAGCAGCGGACTGCCCTCGCTGGATCAACTCACCCCGCTCAAGTCGTTGACGGGCAGCAGGAAGAGGGCGCGCTCCAACAGCCTCGACATGGAGAACAGGGAGAACTACCCCGCATCATCGATCCAGAAGCTGGTGCACCATCGAGCGCCGGCAGCTGTGATGGACGAGGCTGGTGGTCACGGACACCGGAACTGGGAGTGAAACTTCACACTCGGCCGAGCTGTACAGACGGGAAAGGGAAAGGGGAATACAGCATGTTTCCGGGAGATGTGTGCCCTGCTTGCTTGCGCGTATGTCGCAAAACTGGAGAGGAGTAATCTCGCATGCAGCGGCATCTGAGCAGAGGTGAAAAAAAGGGACAGTGTACTTTTGCGCGGGAGTTTATGTTCTTGACTTTAGGGTGGGATGGAATGATTGACGGCCGACTCATGTGTGAAACGCCTATAAAGGCTCCTCTTGGATGGAATAGGGGCAGAGAAAAAAACATGTTGCAATATGCTAGAAAGAACAGCAACTTTTGATACCAATAATCACGTCTTGTTATTACCAGAGTTTTTAGTAAGGAGAAAGAAACGCAACTTGTTACTCTCACTTGGTCCCCTCGGCAGAATATGAAAACAAAAATTGCTTCGGTTCCCACATCACGGTTACATTGGTCCGACAAGAGACGTATTGTTTCTCCTGTCATCCTTCATGCCCGCCAAACGTTGGTGTTGGGACGAGCGAGTGGTTCAGAGAGCTTCGCTGGAGTGATGAGATGAAACGCTCAGAAAAGTGGCAAGCCTGCCTGCTTGCTTGTCTGCCTGGTGTTCGTCGAGGGGGGGGGGGGGGTTCACCTGTGGTGGGTATTCTCTTCCTCTTCTTTTTTTCTTTTTTCATCAGCGTTTGAGGTGATGGAAGCTTAAAAAGATCAGATGATCCTCTGTTGCCAAGACTTATGTTTTGTGAGACGCTGCCAAATTGTGGTTCCTCCGTTTCTTCGGTTTGCCTTTTGTCGCAAACTCGACGGAGCTCTCGGTGCGGGTTCGTAGTCGTAGTCGTCGTCAACATCGTCCCTGTCCTCGTCACCAGTGCCGCCCGGACGTTACGGTAATAATAATAACTCCCCCTTCCCCGGCCTCGCCAGGAGGATTCAGTAGCGCGAGTGGAACGTGGGAGTTTGATGTTTCATTCCAAGCAAGAGAACGAGATTGCGGAGCAGGAGAAGCGAGTGGAGGTGTGCACGTGGAGACCTACCCATCGCATCGTGCGAAAAATGTGAGTGCTCAGAACCAGGAGATGGAGCGAGAGAGAGAGAGAGAGAGGATGAGGGCGATCAGTGAGAAAAAAGAGCGGAGGATGTTCGCAGGGGTTCTTCTTTTCTTAGGATGGGACGGACGAGGGTTTGCGGGTGCATGGTCTGAACAACGTGGACAGCAGGCGCAGGTGAAACGCTGCATGTCTGAACGTTGGTGACCGAGGTGTGTGATATCGCGAACAGTGGCAAAAGACGGGAAATAGGGGGTTGGTAAGTCTGGTGAGTTTTCAAGATAATCGCCCGTTCGAGCTGCCGTCTTGAGGAAGAGTTGAAGTCGAAAGATTCATCAATTGCGTGACAAGAATCTCGGCGGTTGAGCAAGCGCTGTCAAGTTGAGCCTCAGCATACTCAGCCACGATTGGACTGGACTGAAGCCGTTCGCCGAGATCTCGCGCCCGCCGCCCGCGGCGGGCTGCTAGCGGTGGAGCAGAAAAAGAAAGGACCGGGATGCGCACAGACGATGAGACAAGACGATTTCTGAATTCACACCAGCGAGGAGGATCCAATTGTTGATATGCCGGGGTTTGGCTTGCAGATTGACGGCTCCAGGGCATTGAGCTCGGAGGCGTAGGTGACAATCTCTCGACAATTGAGATGGGGGTGGTCTAAGCGGATGAGAAAGCAGAACTGGGAATACCATGAACAACTCTTACTTTCCAACTTCTGTGCGGTCGCCGACTCTTGCTTGCTGTTAGTCTTCGTCTACCTCTAATGGTTAACCCGAACACCGATTGCCAGAGCAAAGAAGAGACGTGGCAAACCGAGCCACGAACAGAGAAAACGGAGCAAAAGACTGGAAACGAAGGCCCGGTCAGGTATTCGTTGTTCATCGCGTGTTGTGTGCTGTGTACTCTGTAGGGGCCACTGGTCCGTGTTTCGAGTCTCGTTGCATTTTGCTCTTCTAGACGCCGTCCAGACGTCCAAGCTTGTGCTTCCCTGACATCCGTAGACGGCGGTCCATTGCGCTTGCCTAGACTTCGGTCCGTCTGGAATGAAAGGTGGTGACCCGGGTCGTGGTGTCCGATGCCCATAACTGTTGGGTATTGCCACCGTTCATTAAGATCCCTGATGTGGGATTTTGGAGTAGGTCGGTGCTCCAAGGTGGGTTGGAATCTTGTATACTCGCGACTCCATCCGCGGCAAAAGAGACCAGGGTGCTTGGCGCAAGGAGTACATTTTGCGAAGCATTTGCATTTCTGATTTGGCATCAAGTAAGCTGCCATGGAACACTGGTCAGTTTAGTTGCGTGGACAGACGGCAGTGGGAACTTGGCTTTTGTTGTTCACTTCCTTGCCTGTTCCATTCCTGGATCCATCTTCGTCGACCGTCTGGCGGCAGTCTGCGCCAACGGTGGCCAATCGAGTAGATTACCAGGCCCTTGTGTCCGGCGGCGGCGCGGCAAGGCCAAACAGGAAAGGAGAAAAGAGGCTGAGCCAATCTTACGGTGGCCAGCCATGTATTCGTGGACGACACGCGAAATAAGCAAGGAAAAAAGAGAAAATGGTCGACGGGAATGGCCTCGGCGCGTTGAAGGTGGAACAAGCAGAGAGAAGCAAGTGGTGGTCTGGGTGCCAATTTTGGTAGGCGCCGTAAGTTGCAGAGCGGCAGAGGTGCTAGCTGCCAGTCAAAGTGGTGGTGGACCCTTGGGTCTGGAGCTCGCTTACTTCGGGCAGGGGTCGCATGGGCCTGGTTGACTGGATGAGGTGCATCGCGACTCGCAGGACGGTCAGGACCTTCTGGACTCTCTGCAAGAAGAGTGCGAGCCCCTTGTTCCAGATTTTGCTGTGAAGCATGGGGTCTAAAGTCTCTCGGCCATACGTTTTGGCCTGCAGAGATACATGTTTCGTCGTTAGCTCCCAATCCCTGGCTACATGGACCGTGGCGCCTAAACCAAGATCGGTGCAACCCCACGAGCGTCGGTACCTTACAGCGGGAGAGCAGCGACGACTGGTACTTATTGCCCCAAACTTCCAAAGGTACCTGCCCGTAGGTACCTAGAGAGCCCCGCTCGCGTGCAGGTTAGTGCAGACCATCTCCCGTTAAGTGCCCACCGCCCGACCCGACGTCTCCCCGACCTTGATGCGGATGTCATACACACTACATGCCTTGTCGTGACTACCGTGACTACCTTGCATTGCCTTCAACCTTGAGACCTGTGCGCCAAGAAGTCCACTTCAACCTCCGCCGTTCCTTGTCAAACATCAACCTTGGCTACTTTGGCGCATCGTGCTTGACTGGCGCCCAGTACCTCGCATCAGAAACATGCGCTCTTCTTCGTCCCATACCAGGCCCCATCCGACCCTATGGCCGGCCCCGGCACACGACCGGTATCGTTCGCTCTTTGGCCAGATGCCCAGAATCCCCCTGTCCGAGTGCCCATCCCGTCCTCCACCGTTATCGTTTTAGATCGCGACTCCCACGATGCGCCGCATGGGTGTTTGCCTGTCATTCGGGTACCCATCCTGCGTCGATCACGACCCTCGTCCACGGGTTGAGCAGCCAGAAGGGAAAGCATGAGTCTAGATGCGTGTAGGGATATCCAGGCCATGGAAGGCGGCAGACATGGCCCATGGGTGACAGACAGACGTGATATTAAACCAGCCCGGCCTCTCATCCCGAAATGGCCTTGTGGTCTTCACCTCACCTCACCTCCTCATCCACCAAACGCCCTTCCTCCTCGGGATTCGCAAAAGAACGTGGAAACAATCGCATTGTTTCCCTTCTTCCCTTGAGGCCCATTCTCAGACCACCCTAATTTCCGTGGATTTCATTGTACGCGCTTGAGGCAGGCAGGCACCTTCCTTTATTCGTTTTATTGTTCCTTCCTCCCGGACCGAGTCGACTGTTCGATCCTTCCTCGCCTTTTCAACAACCTCACAGCTTACAACGCCGCCCCACTTTACCCGAGATATCAATCTTTGACCTCGACCATCGCCGCATGTAGCACGACAAGGCCTTGTTATTCTTCTTTTTCTTTCGCCTTCTATTCTTGACTCAGCTGGTATCTGATTGCGCCGGACGTCTTTAATTGTGAATACAAATTTACGTGTGTAAACAAACAAACTTCTTGGTCTCGTTCAGTCCTGCCACGCCAGTCAACAACCTGATTCACCGAGAATCCAAGAATCCGCGTACATAAAAACAACCTCGAGGCGGCCCAGTCATCGATCTCAAACTTTCACATCAGTCATAACATTACTACAACTTCGACTCTTCTGGAAGACTCGAAAACTCTGCGCTCCTTCCTGCCAAACGATATCTCAGCCCGCCCCACCTGGTTTGTTGTCCTTCTTCCAGCTCATACATACGCAAACCCTAACTCATCTTTTTCATCCAGACACACACTCGATCCTTTTTTGATTTCGTCAAATTCCTCACCACTATTCACTTTCCTCACTTTCCCTTTGGAATCGCTCACGAGTCCACCAAATTCTTCCCTACTTTTGCGCTCCGCGAGTATCAAAAGCTTCATCACTTGAGTATCCCATTCACAAGAATATTCACTCCTTCCTCTTCGCAATCATATCCCAAGAATTCACCATGGTTCGCGTCAACTCCTTCGCCATGGCTGTCGCCGCCATCATCGGTGTCCCTATGGTCGAGTCTCACACCTGGGTCGAGCAGCTCAACCGCGTCGCTGCCAACGGTACTCTCGTTGGTCCTGATGGCTTTTCCAATGGCTGGGCTGGTCGTCTCAACGGCTTTGACGACGAGCGGTACACAATGCGCATTCCCGGAAAGGGCTTCAATCTCTGCGAGAAGTCCATGCCCGGTAGCCAGCCTGCAGAGTTCCCGTCCTTGACTGCTGCTCCTGGCGACTTCGTTTCTCTTCGCTACCAGGAGAACGGCCATGTCACTAAGCCGACCGCCCCCGAGAACAAGCCCCTCAACCGCGGCACTGTCTTCATCTACGGCACCACCCAGCCCAAGTCTAACCCTAGCGTCTTCGACATTCACCGCCAGTGGACTGCTGACGGCAAGGGTGGCGATGGCACTGGTCGCCTCCTGGCAACTCGCAACTACGACGATGGCCAGTGTTACCAGGTCAACGATTCGCCCATCTCCCAGGAGCGTCAGGGTGCCGCTGTGCATGAAGCTCTTCAACCCATGGGCGTCAACATTTGGTGCCAGACGGCCTTCCAGCTCCCTGAGGATCTGGCCCAGAACTCAGAGTACTCCATCTACTGGGTCTGGACTTGGCCTACTCTCAAGCCGGGTGTCGTCGCTGAGTCCACGAACGGCCAGTTTGCCGACTTCCCTGTCGGCTTCACGGACGACAAGCGCGCTGCTACCTCTGAGGATATCGAGACGCCTGAGCTCTATTCTAGCTGCTCTGTTATCAAGGTTCAGGGTGAGAAGCTTGTGCCCGGTGCCAAGGCTTCCTCGAACTCCAACAAGGCTACCAACGCTCTGTCTGCCTTCACGTTCCTCGAGGAGACGGATTACAACTTCAACGCTATCAAGGACCAGCTTGCCAACCCCTTCCAGGTCAGCGTCGACGGCCAGGCTGCCCCTGTCAACTCAGCCCCCAGCAATGGTACTCACAGCAGCACTCCGGCCGCTACTCGCACTCCGACTCCCACCGTTCCTTCTGGAGTCGCCCAGGGCACCAACAAGGCTCGAGTTCTCACTGTCTCTGCTCCTGCTATGACTCTGTACTCGTTCCTTACTGTCACTCTCAATGCCCAGACTCCCGCTCCGACTCCCACCAGCGGTCAACAGTCTGCTGAGGCCAGCGTCACCCCCTTCCTCCACGGCCGTCATGTCAGAGGTAGAGACTCTTGGAACTTCGGCCAGGGCAACTAAGCTGTTGGGGACCCACGTCGCGCAAGCATTCTGAGGGACACACATCGTCTACTGGGCCATGCGCAACATTATTCGACTTTTTCTAGTTCGACAATTTCTTTCTTTCTTTTCTTTCAGTGCTATTCTTCAACAATACCCAGCATTACCATACCACTCTCTTGGAGTTTGGGCTCTCTTTTCGGTATCGCCAAAGTCCTACAGTACATACATCCGGTTACAGGCATCACGTTCTCTTCAACTTTCCGGCATCAACGGCAACGGGGATTGGACAAAGGGTCATGAACAGGAGTATCACGGTCGACATTTCGAATTTCTGAGCATTACCCCAGGTGGACAGGACGGGGCAAGGTCTTTTTCTTTCTTTCTTTCTTGATGACCCAGGCATATAACCGGAACGGCATTTCCGGTCGGCGTTGGAGGATAAAGGATGATACCAACTTCTTTCTTCTTTCAGTTGCCTCAATATTCTGAGGCCATTTCTTTGTCATCAGGGAGGGTTTGTCTCCCAAGAGTTTTCAAGTCTCCCCCATGGGTATATGGGAGGAAAGGCTTCCAAACTGGTTCGCAATTTTCTCAAGGCCTCGCTTACACCTTTTCTACCCATTTCGATGTTCGGACTTCACGTCTCCCCTTCTGGTTGGGCGGCTCGATGCTGCACTTAAGAGACATGATACGAATTGGCGGAATGGGGTTATGGATTAGATGATGGAAGGGAGGCAAACACACGAAAAACAAGTAGTCATGGAACGCAGAGGCTATAGTGCTCGCCTGGAGGGTGGTAGTACCATGGAAGCCAGTTCACACACTTTTTCGTTGCACTTCCCGGTGACTCGCATGTGACATGATTTCAAGGTTCGACACAGCCATCATGTGGACTTGTATGACCGACCTCTTTGACCAACCTTGATGCTGTTCAGCTCACTCACCGACGCTGTTTAGTCCACCCACCCACTCCATATAGACCAGTCGCTTTCATCGGTTGGGGCCATGTTCAAGACTAGTCATCTTTGTCAGCACATAGTATCCTCAGCTTGATATGACCTCAACTGCTAGATATCTCTTGAATTGAACAGGAAGACTGTAGTGCCAAACATGTGTTCGATGTCAGCGTTCTGTGTCATGGGCAGCGTTCGTGCGTGGAAAGGGCCTTGATACACCCAGAATCTTCCAAGTAGCCAAGCATAGACTAGTTGATATCGTAGTCATGGCTCCCATCAGAGCAAAAGCCATCATGCACAGTCTGAATCCGCTCTGGCAGTGACTGAGCTGTCCACGAGGCTGAAGTATAGGCAAGGCTGCCCAGAACCCTCACCGGCTCCCCAGGCAGCCGCCACCCACATCGCACCTTCCTGTCCACGTCCAACCACAACAACAACAAACCTTCATCCCATACCTTGACGGGACGGACACCCACTATTCTCTCTCCCTCAAACCGCCTACCAACCCACCAAGGGTCTATAGGGCACCTCAATTCCATTCTCGTCACCAGCACAGCAGGCGCCCCCCTAGGTCGGGGGGTCAGGTCAAACTGTGGCGTGGGTGGTGGAATGGTTAATGGTCACCAAATTATTCACGCCAACCAGCCTACTCGACGACAGGCTCAGCGCATACCCGAGTTCGAATCCCAGCATGAGCACTAAGAGATGTAGCCCCCAGTTCAGCACCGGGGGGGTGAACTCTTTTGACTTTTTGGATGACTTGAGTATTGGGGTATGATGAAGGATGACGGTAGGCTTGAAAGTTGATATAGGAGGCCTCTTTCAATATAGGAGCTTTCGGTCTTCATTATATACAGAAGCATCATCGTTTCTTGTAGAAACCCCAAGAGGGTCGGGCGTGAAGGGTTGTGGGAGTAAGCCACTCATATCTAAGTGCCTCATGACTACTTATTGCCAAAATTCTGCGAGAATGAAATGATGTTTATCATTCCTTGCGGTAACACTCAAGTTTAGGAAATGGTTGTCTGTAATTAGTTCGATCGACCACGCTTGTCAGCATCCCGCCCAGCCTTCAACCGCCTCCTCGTCCTTCCGAGCGCGCTGGCTGGGCGCTCAAGCTTATGATGAGGTTTGCCATAACTTTTCGAGCATTCATTCAGATACCCAGCGAGACGTCGACCAAACATAAACTCCATCAAGTGCCGACGACGGGTCAAGAAAAAGTCGTGTTCAACTACCTCTAAGCGGCGTCACAGATGAGACAGAGCCATGGGCAGTTGTTGTCTTCTCACTCCTCGTGTTCTCCATATCAGGAGAGAGGAGATAAGGTAATGTCCAGCGTGAACCAGGGACAAGTTGAAGACGAGGAGCAGGGACGATTTCAAGTATTCATGACACGAGGCGTCTCTCCTTGGCTACGGGGGCTTTGGGCCTTGAACCAGATCAAGTCAACTTGCTAGGTGAACATGTGGACCCAGCGAGCGAGTCGGATATCATCCTATCCCTCTTTCGTCTCACATACGGGAGCTTCCTCGCTCCAGACTCCATGTATCACGAGCCAGAACGTGGGTTCTGATGCTACAGCCTCACAAGGCGGGCAGTAAGACCACCCAAACTATATGCCCTCATTCACCCCGCCTCGTAGCTCATCGCCTCAGGATCTTATCAACCAAAACCATCCTCACATCTCACCGCACTGCGCGATGACAACGTCCTGGTTCGGCTGGTCCTTTCCGCGGTACCCCGTCTTGGTGGCCTCCATCATCTTGACAATGTCCATACCGTCGACAACCTTGCCAAAGACGACGTGCTTGTTGTCCAGGAAGGGCGTCGGGACGGTGGTGATGAAGAACTGGGAGCCGTTTGTGTTGGGTCCGGCATTCTGTTAAGACGTCATTATTAGTCTAGGTATCATAATCGCCAATTTCGTCACGTTGCAGTGAGTTGGTCTCAAATTCGGAAAGTAGGTTCTTGACGTACAGCCATGGAGAGCAGACCGGGCTGGTCGTGCTTCAGGTTGAAGTTCTCATCGGCGAACTTGGAGGTGCCGTAGATGCATACCGAGCCGGTACCGTCGCCATTCAGGAAGTCGCCGCCCTGGCACATGAAGCCTTGAATCTGTAAGACATTGTCCGTCAGCCGTTGCACCGTTTTCAACTATCTTCACATGACCTTCCCCCTTCAGTGTCCGGTCCGGAGATTGAGTAAGATGGCTGGCAGTGTTACGTAGAAAGATGACTCACGATACGATGGAACTTAGAGGCCTTGTAGCCCTGCGGACGACCCCGAGCATCCTTGGACTCGCCGGTGCAGAACTGACGAAAGTTCTCGGCTGTCTTGGGGACTACATCCTTGAAGAGCTCGAACGTGATGCGGCCGAGTGGTTCACCTAGAGACAATACCGAAGAAGCGTTAGAGAGAAACGGTGCAAGTCAAAGGATGGATAGTAAAGACATATTCCCAGGCTTTGGGGCTTTGGGAATGACGGCCGGGCAGATTCGTAGACCGACAGATCAGGGCCACACCGAAGAGCCGAAGCACACCAGCAGCTCGGAGCCCCGGAGCCGGGATTGCCTGAGCCGCGATGCTCAACCGCCGGTGGTAGCGTCTTTGTGGCCAAGAGGGGACAAGTTTCCAAGTCCAAGACCCTAGACTCATCTGGACAACGACAACCTAGCTCGTTCGTGGACAAGAGTGCCCAGCATGTAAGGCAGAACCTTGCGGGGGTCCGTCTCTCTCGGCATATGCACACGTGCACGATGCCTTCGAATAGCTTCGTGGCCCCAAGACTTCAAGAGGCCAAGGACGACAGAACAGTCCATGAGACTCGTCCCCCAAGCACCCCGGCCAAGACATGAGGAAAAATTGAGCCCCCCGACGGCGAATGATTTGATACATACCACCAAGTGTGATGTCGAAAAAGACCCTATTGACGCAGGCTTCTGTATTAGCTCACTTCCTTGTACAACTCAAATCAAAAAAAGGGTGAAGACTAAATCACTCTCGGGGTAGTGGACTGCCACCGGCTCCCGTGTACTTGTTCACATATCAGCGCAATAGGGGCTGGCTTTCCCACCTCTACCATTGAAGCTCGAGAGGCTGTTGAGGAGGGTGTGGACGCCGAGAGCTCAGCCACCGCCACCGCTTCGAGATGACTGCGGCCCCTCCCCTCTCAGAATCACTAGGCTAGGTGTTGGCGAGAAGCGGTGAAAGGCACAGCGAGGCGTGAGTGGGATGAGAGATGGAGAGGCGGATTTGGATATCCACCGAGAATGCCGCGCGCGCGGTAAGGGGTTCCTGAGAGAAGAAAGAGGAAGAAACTTAGACTTACAGCGGGTTGCCGGATTCCGGGAGCTTCGTGGGAGGCATGGCTGGGGGTGGTTTTGGGGGTGGTAATCTAGCCGTAGGTCGGTCGTGTGGGAACGGGGACAAGGAAACAAACGAAAGGGGAAAAAAAGTAGACTCGGCCCCAGCTGCAGCTGTTTCTCTTCCGTGGACGCCGGCGGGGTAAGTGGGCTAAGGTATGTTGAAAGGCGGGGGGGAGTTGTTGAGACTTGGAAGCCAGGCGGTGGATGAATTCGATATCCAAGAACTAACGGTATGGATTACGGGAAACTTCTGTCAATCCACGCCGTGGATTCGTAGGCCCGCACCTGTCCTGCACCTATGTGGGGCCGCCCAGCCCGTCCAAAGTGCGGAGGGCAACGCACGCACCTGAGCCGAGTTGTCGGAACCCGGGCAGGATAAACCTTCCATAGGTTCTTTTGGAAGAGAACTTCGCCAACGACAACGACGACGACGCTGCACTACCTAAGGTACTCCGTACTCCTCCAAATCTTGGCACCTCAGCTTTCCTGCCCAGCTCTCCCGGGCGACTGGATGGGGATTGTCAGCGACATGCAGACCCCAGCCCGCTGGTGCGGAGGCACCTACCCAAACGGGCCAAAAACGAGGCTTTACTTGTCCTCCGGGGTATCGGGTTGCTGGCAAAATGCCTCAAATGCAGCGAACATGCAAGCCACACTGAATCCGAACTCCGCATCAGAGGAACGTTCTTTACACGTATCGTTCGGTTCATTGTTGTGTTTGGAGATGCAGTGATCAGCTCGCAACGGCTTCCGAGTACCGTCTTGCTGGAACCTCCGAGGATAGTGGTCGTGCCTCGACCGACTAGCAGGACAAGCTGACCGTCATATTATCAATATTGGTACTCTACGGACGTACTCCAGGTTGCTCTCATCCAATAGAAACAAACCGCTGGACTGTCACAAAGGTATCGTCTTCCATTGACTCTGCCGATTCTATAACGATCCTGCCGCATGGGCAGTGGATAAGGTTTTATACACCGGCTTCGATGTGTAAATCACCCCAACAATCCACCGTATGAGGACCCTTCATGCGTCACAGATTTGCCCAGACCAGCAAGCCAAGGGGCTCTCCATGCAAGATCGATTTCCAGGGAAGCACAGGGGTTACTGGCGATCGATGATCTTGGTTAGAGAAGGAATGACCAAGTTGGAGGCCGAGTACCTCGAGAACCCCAAAGATGTTTCCCCCTCTGGTCCCCATAGGCTAAGAAACAATTCGGGATGGTCAGAATGAGCGCTCGCGCCTTATCACCAACAGCGGTTGACTTTGAAAGACAACATCAGATCCATTCCAGATGCCGGTGACCTTTCATCACACTGAGTTCGCAACGTTCAAAACACAGGCTTCTTTACAGAAGCCTAAACCATCTCTGAAAAGACCGTGAGCGATTGCTCACGGAGTAACCTATCCCCCCGTCGCGCGAGGGACTCCATCCGCCTCATGTAAGCTGCCACATCGTAAGTATTGTCCACATCTCGAGCCGGACCCCAAAAATCAAGACAATGATCACGAAGAGTAATCGTCAAGTCACGGGCAACAATGCTGAATATATGGTCATACGAGACACCGCGAGAAAAAGGAAAATAGCACAGAGTTCCCTCGTTTGCTGCATCACGCCATAAACAGGAAACATGATGGGGGGATCATCAACCCACCCGCTCGTAGCTGTAGTACATACTGAAAACTTTAGCTTCAACCATGATAGACGAGCTGACCGCTTGGTGCATCGCAGGCTGACTTGGCTAGGTAAGTACCAGTTTGAAATAGCGAAGAAGTTCAAGCTCGATGCCTGGGTACATTTGGAACCATTCGTGTTCGTTCTCATGTAGAGAGACGTAGAAAGCAATGCAGAGCCATCACGGCAAGATGATTAGCCCACTCGTCAAGCAGACATCAAGCCTCCTTAAAATCGAGGCATGCTTGACCAAACCTCGCCAGGACAGAGAAGCGGATATCCTCCTACATCCGAATCGCAGCCTATGCCAGGGTAAGCTCCGTGTGCGCCTCATCGCCAGCAACCTTCACAACCCTCGCCATCACGCCCGACTCAGAACGTCGGCTTCATTCAGCTAGAAAGACCGAGTAACGAAATCCGGTAGGTTTCACCACCACCGCCGTCGAGATTCGTCCACCAGCTCAAAGTAAGTTGTACGTCTAAAGAAACGCCGTTACTGCATGCAGCAGACTTGACGGCGGGGGTCGTTGCGCCGAGGGAACGCGGCGAGATGAGCCGAGATTCTCTCTCTTCCCCTTCACCGATGATGCCCAGCAGAAACGAAAAGGGAGGGTTTTGGAGAGCATGCCAAACCTCACGGTTGCTTTTTCAAACCGGCCACACACACAAACACATACACCCCGGACCCGTAAAATTCTCGGATGAGCCGTCTCCCGATCGGCCGTCGTCCGTGCCGAGGCCGGGGGTCGCCGAAGATATAGTAGCCTTCCCCGGGGTGGGCTGTCTGCTGACGGCTGTCAAAGTGTGTCAATCTGACAAGGGAAACACAATATTGGAAAAAGGAAAAGAGGGAAAAAAAAAAGACCCGTGCAGCCCCAAATTCATGGGCGACAGGGACCCCCGGGAGGGAACTTGACTCAGGACCGCCGTGGATGAATCCGTACCTGGCAAGGGCACGCGAGACAAGACCGGTTCGGCGTACAAAAATCCTCGTGAGGTCGTGCGCTAATATTGGAAAGCATATTCCGTACGCAGTAGAGGGAGAACAAGAACAGCAATATATTAAGCTTCTTCAACTAAAAAGAAATATAGGGAGAGAAAGCTTGATGTTGTCGCACTTGAAACAATAGATCAGCCACAATGCGCTACCTGGGCGCTCAGCCTTCATGCTTCCTCTGGTAATTAGAATTCCAACGGTCAAGGGGGTAGATAGAAGTTCGCGAACCAGCAAGTGGTCTACCGAAACCAGACTGTTCGACCGCTCGAGCAGCTGTTCTGATGAATCCTCAATTCGTGGATGGGCACCGCAGCCCCACGCAAACCGTCCATATGTCATTGGTCGCGTGGTTTTCTCCTTGCTCTGCTGCCCTTACCTCGCATCTTACATAACCCACCGCGGCCAGAGGTCCTCTCGAATCGGAGCGAACATCGCGCAGAGAACCCCGCGTCTTTTGGCTGCACTACAGCTGCAGCTCCAGCTGAAGCCCGGGGTTGAAAGTGAGGAGAAGCCCCCCGTACCCATATTCCAAGGGTACCAAATGCAGAAGGCCGCGTCACGGAAGTCGGGTTTAACAGAAGATAGTCTACTTTTGCCAAATGCCCAGCCTCTCTTGGCTGAGGCTTGGGGGCTACGAGAGTGGATGAGGACACCAAACTCGACGATATTGAAGAGAATCGTTGCCCCTCTCCAAGTTTCCCGCGGCGCCAGCCTTCGCGCACATATGCCGCATCGCGACGACCGCGTGGAAAGTCTGGAATGCTCGGAACGCTACCAGGCACTTGGGTTTTCGCCGTGGACGATTTGGGGGAGATTTGAATTGCTCGCCGGAAATCGAACTGATCGACGGGAGCGAACTGAAGCGTCTGACAGGCTGGCGTTAGCAACAAGCCCCATCAAGGACGGCTTTCCTCTTTGCCTTGCTGCCGTGGTGCGTCTGCCGCATCGCCGTTATCGCGAGCCAACCAACTCGTAGGCGAAAAAAGTCCAGACTCCCCCCGGATGGCGCGGCGTTGAAGATCGACAGCACCAGAGCAGGGTGGAGCGGGTGAAGAGGGGGCCGGGCTCGGGCGACAAAGCAGCCTGTCGTTCCATAGAAAATGATCTCATGGAATGCTGACGATCCAATAGTAGGCTCAGGTCTCGTTGTGATTCGCGAAAACAGGACGTTTCGACCTTCACACTCCCGAGGGCCTCACACATTAGGGGCCTGTATATTTTGTTTCGGGCGCGGTTCGTTACCACTAGATCCACACATGGCCCGCTGACAGGTCACCCACGATACGAGTCTATCAATACGGAACCAAATCGCGTTGCTAACAAGCAGAGGACCGCAGTTGTAGCTTGTAGCCAGGTACGTCGTAGACACACCGCACATGATCACCAAATATCTTGAATGCCGATGTTCAGTAGTGGCTGGGGGGCGACTGGGAGATATTGGAGGCGTGGAATGCGATCTGGGATCGGCAAGCCTTCTTTCAACGTTCAATGGCGTGTCTGCACAGCCCTGCGCCAGCTGTTTTCCGGGGATTGAAAGTCAAATCGATGATGACCTTGATGACAAGAGAATATCCTCATTCCTGCGCGGCGAAGATAAGCATCTGGCCCCCGCGAAAATTGTGGCCTTACAATACGACCACCGAGTTACGAGACAACTCGTGCCGCCCACTCGCAACGAAAGCGGGCAGGCGAATTAGTTAGTGTTCTCGTTGGCGCCATAAAGCGCGGGAAGGAAAGGAAAACTAAGTCAGATGGCCCCCAAAGACAGACCTAGATGTGCGGCTCGGAAGGCTCCGGGGTTGAACGTCGAAATCCGCAAGACCCGGAAGCAAAAGGTTATGGCGTGGTTGTTGCCGGCGGCCAGGGCAATCCGATGAATTTCATTCCGACGGCGAGGGGCATCTACTGATCCGTCTGCAACACCCCGGGTCCGATAGAAGTTGATCGACATTATTCTGCCGCGGATGCTTTGATGGCATGATCCCAGTTGCACACACAGGCTCTGTTAACAGCCGCCCCGCGTACCAGCCTCCCAACTTTCGAGCCTCTCGAGGGTATGATAGAATTTCCCTCATAGACGTGGAGAGTAGGCTGTGAGATCTTTCTAGTGAACCATAGAAACTTGGCTTACAGCGGGCGTTCTGTTGTAATTTGGGGCGCAGACGTGTTCGAAGCGACCGCAACCATACTGCATCGTAGGCTTAGTTTTCGATGGAAGCTTGAAAGCCCAGAATATTCGGTATACAAATACGGAGTACGCTGCAGACGAAGACCGGGAATGTTCTGGTTTGGCCGGGAGCCAAGCCGTTTTCGTCGCCGTCATCAATGGCGGGGATAAGTTGGTGTGTCCGGATTTGACGGCACTCACCTTCGGTCAGCGTCATTAGTCGAAGCAGCCCCCCATTGGAGCGGGCCAGTATCCCCAGACGCACTGTGAAAAGACTATTTCCTCGTACTGTTGTCCTGTTAGTCACGGATCAATCGGCTTGTCTTTGCGCCTGTTTCCCCAGTCGAGACAGCTTGATACAATTCCGAAGAAGCGAAGTTGTAGTTTGGTCGTCGTACTGATAGTATGATTTAATCACTGATAACGCTAGGGAGCTCATTTTCACGATTTGGCGGTTCAATGGCAGTCATGTAAGGTACTAAGGGAAGTCTTCATGACATCGATTTCGTCGTCCCCAGGAACAGCAGTGGTCCCATGGAGATCAAGCTTTCCTAGGTGGGCGCCTGAGCGTTTTCCAGGGGCTTTGGTTCTTGAGACGGAGCAAGACACAACAGCGTCTAAGAGAGCCGTTCACTGACCAAAGAATCGTAAGGTTGTTCGTGTCGTGGCATCTGATAATAAGATGTGTGAGACATACATGTGTCGTGTTGCCTGAGCAGTAGGTACTCAGTTCAGATACTCTGGTAGTAGTGCTCTTGCGCTTTCGTGTCTGACATCTTGACCTGGCACCCTGGGGAATACCGACTGCCAAAGCAGCGGTCTAGTGCTCGGACTGGCTGAGGTGGCACTGACAACGATTAGACGTGGCCGAGTGAGTGCATCTTCTCGAAATGCTGGCGGTAGGGTCCGAGGAGTCAATTCGACTGTGTAAGGAGGGCGACACATTGACAAACGCTTGAATCAAGCAAGCCCACACTGCCGATAGAGTCGTCGTGGCGAAAAAGCGTCGTCCTTGTCCGTGATGCTGAAACATTGAGAAGATGGGGTGAAATGAATTGCCCGTCGGCCCTAGCGTTCCGAAGCTGGCCATCTGGTTTTTCGAGTGGTTGCAGCGTGCAGCGGTAGCCAGCCAGCAAGTCGTTACTCGCCATGAACAATAGTTCGTGGCTATTATTAATTGTTCTCGCGACCTTCAGACCGTCCATTTCGTCGGAGCGCTGCGCTGAGATGCAGGTTCTATTAATGATCATGTCTGAGATGTTGAGACGTATTCCAGACGAGGGACAGTAAGGACGTCGTATTCCGTGCCAGGAGATTGAGTTATTGCTTTTCGTCGTATTGGACGGATACGTGCGTGTTGTGCTTCTTTTTTCTCTCGCTCTCTCTTTCTTCCTCGCATGTCCCTATGCGGGATGTGCCAGGGGTTAGTCGCCAATGTTGGTGTTGAAGATTTGAAGGCTTGCTTGGTAGGTATGTTGCTTCTCCCGGGCCGGGGTAGCCGTACCTCGAATTGGTGCCGCGTTCCCTACACACCAATACACAGTAGAACGTCAGAAACGAGATACACACGGATTAGTGATGGCGTGCTCGGTTGCTCCCATCTGCAAGGCACAACCCAGCGCTCAACTCCGACTTTGTACAATCCGATGGCTCGTCTGACACTGGCTTGACTCGGTGATATGGATCCATGTGCGCCATGTCCGGGGCTGGGAAAACCAAAGCACTCTAAGTTGGAAGAACCCTGTTCGTGAGGACAAGGATGAAGCGACAGAATGATGCGCCATGGCTGCAAAAAGAAAGCATAGAAAATTCAACAGGTAGACGTTGGTTGCTCCGGCCATGTTCCGTACAAGCGGCTGATAATCGTAGGTTGCAATGGCTATTGGGGATGCCCATCTAGGTACCTGCTGGTCGTATGCCTTTCCGTTTCAATGTCAGGCGTGAGCGAATATGCTGGCAGTTCAGTTCCAGGAGGTATGATCGTGAAAGAGACATCAAACCCTCAGACACGCGGCTCCAGACAGCTGGACTCGGGCGATCGTTTGGCGAGAGACGAAACAACCGAGCAGTCATATCCTACTCTGACCCTTGTCGACTTTGCTTCTGGCGTAAGCCGCTAGGTGCTTGCTTCTGCTGCTGCAATTCTCCGTTGGGTTATCGCCGCATGGTGCCGCGGTCTTTCCCTTCCATCGTCCGGCGCCGCATCCCCACAGCATCCCCTGCTTTCTTTTGGAGGCATCGCCAGAGCATCGGCCTGGGCCGCCGGAGGGCGGATGGCGTTGACGATGCGCACCGCGGGCTAAAGCTGACCGGTAGCCTAGTACCCGGCCGTAGCGGTGCGGGATTTGGCTTGGTTGCAAAGACAAAGGGGAACAAAGAAGACGACATTTTGCATGGTCGGCTGTTCATTACCCATGCCTGTCGAGAACCGAGAAATGATGATTTGCCGAGGCTTTGGAGGAAGTTGATGTTGGAACTCAAATCATGAACGGGCAAGTGGGCGAAATGGAAGCTGAGGGCACGGATGATTTATCCGACGTGATATCAGCAAGGGAAAGAAACCCCTTCTTCTTCAGAAGCAGTGTCAGCAGGCCCGAACGGTATTGGTGTTCGTGACTTGAGGTGGTGTTGCGGTGCAGGTTGTGCGGGCGCGACAGGCAGACTCTTTGGAATTTCAGGCGCCTTGATGGCAGGTACGCACTACCTTGAGCTAAGGCAACATCAGGCAGTTCGGCAGTGGTATACGGTACCTTGCGTGTCAGATCAGCATCATGCTGGGCCCCTTGATTCGATGCGAGATTTCTCTACCTAGGATAGGGGTAGAGGGAATCCGATAGGGTGCGATTTGCAGTATCAGCCTCATGACGGCAGCGGGAACGACGACAAAGAACCAACGGGTTGACCGAGATGAAGAGGAGAATCGGATTGTCCATCACGGGAAGCGGCGCTTGAGCTTTGATTTTGTGTAAAGTACCTTAGATGCTCCGTTAGTAGGGGGTTGAAGACAAGCGACGCTAAAGCCAACCTAAGCACCATGGCGGTAGCCCAGAGTCAGACTCAAGTCACTGTATCCGTCAAAAGCAGCGGGAAGAGACAATCTACGGTAAGGTAAGTCCCCGGCCAACCTTAGTTGTAGACGCCTGCTTTTGCATTTCTTATCTTGAGAACAATACGCTGGTCTTTGAATTGTTCAAGATTTTAGAAGGCCATTTTCTCAGTTTCCCCGCCGGTTCATTGCCGGTTCCCCAGTCAAGAACGAGTTCAACCATGACATTTCAAGAGAGCAACCCACTTGCTACCTATGTGAGCACTTGAGCCAGATATGACACTAGGCCCAAAAGAGTATAGTCGTCTGTCCGAGGGTCGAGTTCCATCACTCACATTGTCTCTGGCGTGGCGCTTTGTTTCCCAAAACAGACTAGACCGGGGCGTCCTACGAGCTGGGTGAAGGTGCAAACGAGGTGACTTGCAACAATTGACGGCCCTCAGACCCGTGAGCGTCCATCTCAGTCACCTACGAGACGCATGCCTTGGATTTCTACATACGTACATACGCAGTCTAATCCTTTCAAATGGCAGCGCTTTCATCCATGGTGGATTGTCTGTGCTGTCTCGGTATCTACGAAGCAGTCGGTACTGGGCACTATCCGTCCTCAGGTATGCTCAGTTTGGTCGCCCGTCTCCATGACACCCTTTCGTGCCCCTACCTGGCTTGAAGGTGTGTGCACCAGCACAGATTGGAAAATGCTAATCTGAGGCTTCGCAGTGGCACAGTGTGAGGGCAGCCAACATCCATTTCATCCAGGCCGGCGTGCAGCGTGCCAGGTTACCAACACCACCTCACAAAGAAGACCCGGTTTCTCAGCAACTCCACCTCCTTGCATACAACCCTGGCGCGGGCTAACTCATACCCTGCCCAATCCCATCTTGCAGGCCGCTTCTCCGTTCCATCGCTCTTCCCCAGTCTTTCCTTTCGCTCTGTGCCTCAGTGCCTCTTTCCTTCGTGTGCCGTGGTGCCTTCTTGCACCTTTTCAACTGGCCTACCTATTACTCCGTACACTGGGGGGTAAGGTAGGGATACTTGGGTACGTCTCTGCCACACTTTGCTCGGTTTGGTTTGGCGGCCCTTGGGGTGTCTGATGTGTCTCGTCTGGGCTGGGTGGTCCTTCCTCCACTCCTCTTCTTCCTTCCCCTTCGCACTTACCCGCCCATCGCCTTGTGGTTCCCACTTTTTCGCTGCGACCGGGCTGTGTTACGCTCTTACTGTCCGTCAGAGTTCCATGTCCTGTTCCATACTTATCCCACTCCACCTGCACTCTCCCTCCCTCCGCACTCTCTTGCCTGCTTTTGTCAACCTTCCCCAACCACCATCCGACATCGTGTCGTGATTCTCCTCTTGTTTCAATTCACTCTACTCACCACGCCTCCCACGGCTTGAGAGTAGATTGGAACCAAGACTCGTATACAGAAGGGAATAATATCTCTACGAGACGCAATTTCCTTCGTTACTCGATCGGATTGTATCGATTGCACGCCGCATGCGAACGGGGGTTCAGGTCGACCATTTCCGTCCGTAGTTGCTGTTTTCGGCTTTCCGGTTTCAAATCAAGGCAGTCACTTAACCTAGCCACACCCATCTCTCAACTCCATGAACTCGACTCTCTCCCGACCGTGAGTTTTCTTTCGGCATCACCTCCCAACGGTGTTCGACTTCTCAACTGCCAGGACGTGGATTTCGACTGCTAGATCGCCGTCAAAATGCCTGCCATTGATCAGGTCTTCGTCGAGGTCTCCCACCTCGTGGTGCGGCAGCTCTCTTCGACCTCGGGGGCCTTGTCCGCTACGCCATCTGCACCATTCAGCGCCGACCCTACGTCGACTCTCAACGATGCCACGAGTGTAATCCAAACGACCACCGACAACCCGACGCCTACCAGTAACTCGGGCAATGGAGGAGGAGGGGGCGGCAATGGTGGCTCCACGAGCTCCCCTCTGCTCTTCTTCGTCGCCCTGGGCTTTGGAGTAGTTTTTACGAACTTATGGTTAGCCTGCTTAAGACTTGACTATACCCGCTCAATAACCATCTAACACCGTCTCTAGGATCATCGTTGGCGTCAAGTACTGCTTCCGGTACAATGCTCGTAATCGTGCTATGCGTCTCAACGAGGATGGCGAGCCCATCAATCTTGAGAACATGCCTCGCCCGCACCGTAGGCGCCGCGAGAAGAAGTTAATGACGATGGATGAGGTCAACGACAAATTCCCTATGACAAAGTACAAGACATGGGTATCTGAGCGGGCACGAGAGGGCCTGCCTACCGCCGGCGGTGTTTCTGCGCCTCCCAGTCGGGCGAACAGTCTCCGATCTGTCGATGGAATTGTACCTGAGCTGCCCTCGAAAGAGCGCGAGTCGATTGAAGATCGCCCCGCTACCGCCGCCGGGAACAAAGCCATCGCCGAGAAACCTACCGAAGATGCTGCGAAGAAGGACGGAGACACCTCGACTACGACTGCCAATGCCGATGCTACTCAGACCACCCCGACTTCTGCCACTCATCTCCAGCGTGTTCATAGTGAGGAGGAGGACGAAGACGATGAACACATCAATGCCGCCGTTCCGCCTGAACTGATGGCTACCAGCGGTGATACTTGTGCCATTTGCATTGACACGCTTGAGGACGATGATGATATTCGCGGACTAACATGTGGCCACGCTTTCCATGCTGTCTGCGTTGATCCTTGGCTCACCAGCAGAAGGGCCTGCTGTCCTCTGTGCAAGGCCGACTACTACACCCCCAAGCCCCGACCAACCCCTGGCGAAGGAGATCCCAACGCTACAGGCGACATGGCTCGCACGGCATCGCGTACCAACATGCCTAACGCCCCTCCAGCTGCGTGGTACAACTTGAGCGGTTCACGATTTGGTCTGGGGGGACGAAACAACGGCAACCGTCGTGGCAACAACCGACCGGACCGTCGTCCTCGTACTCGTCAACAGGCTCCGCCTGCCTCAAACCACAACACCTCGCAAGCCTCGCCGACTACTGCAGAGAACCAGGAATCTCGTGGTCTTCTCTCCAACATTAGGCTGCCTGCCTTCCGCAACCCCCTCCGACGCGGTGGCGATCAGCAAACTCCATCTCCGACGGCAAATGGTGCTAACGTCACACCGTCCCAACTGGAGGCTGGTACGCAGACTGCACCAAACGCAGGCACCACCACGGCCATGACTGAGGCACGGTGACTGCCTTTTTGATGACTGTATCACCTACCAAGGCGAACGCGATTTTGTTTTTTATTGTTGTGCTACTCATGTACATCATACCCCCGAGACCAATTTGCAGATCTCAGCATAGACCTGCGATGTTTATTGCATTATATATGCAACACGACGCCGCTTTTCATACCCATACTTTACATACAGACGGAGTGGGATTAGGCCACATGGGCCAACGGAGGAGGAGGGTGGTGGACCAGGCCGCGCTGCAGCAGAGGCAGGTTTGCATCGCAGGCACACGGGACCTGTTTTGGTTTGGTTTCTCTGGAATTACAAGGGGAGCGGCGGAGTTGCGGCGATTAAGGCATCACTCGTCACGGAATAATGACAATCAAAGTTAACGTACCAACTTACTTGCAGACCACTTGATTGAGAATTGTGATTATGAATGTATGTGATTTTATGATTCAAGCCCGCAGCGTATAATGGCACAATATTGAAACCATGAAGGACGACGTGGATTCTTTGATAGTGACACATGCTTCGCCCCGAAAAGGGTATTTGAGCAACGTTATGGTATTAAAGCCCCCCCTTTTGCCTGGCCAAGTAGTAAACCAGGAACTCTTGTATGGATTTTTCTGCGATTGGTGCATGCTGAAAGATCACAACTAAAGATACGATCCCTTCTGAAACCGGCCACCAAAGTCTTTTGCTTTGTTGAGCAACTCTCTCCTCTGCGCTGTCCCAATCTTGCCTCCCAGGGACATGTCCTTCTCCTTGTCGAAAGCCCTTTTGCTGGGGTCATCTTCCTCCTCCTCGTCCCTCCCAGGCTTCGCGCCGTGCTTCTTGTTTGCCTGGTGCTCCTCGTACATGCTTTTGCCCCGCGCGCTCGCAATGTTCTCGCTGATGCGTCTCTCCCGCTCCGTTTCCTCCTTGGTCCGGCGCGGCTGCTGGCTTCTTTCGTTGCCCGCGGCCGTCGGATCGCCGCGGCCGAGGACCGCGTCCTCGAGGCGTTTGCGCTTCTGTTCTGGCGTCTCGGTCCATATGCTGCTGATGCCTCCTCCGCCTCCTCCCGCGGCGGCGGAGGATTTCCCGCTGGCGAATTTGCGGTTCTTGAGTTTTGTTGGGTCGCGTTCCTGGTAACCTGACTGCGTGGGCGGCGCGAGCATCCAGTCGTCGCGCTGCGGTGCCGCGGGGCCTTGGGATGCCGTCGCTGCTGCTGCTGCGGCGGCGGCTTGGGCTCGTTGAACGGCTGTTGTTGAGGAAGGGAGGGCCGGGCCGTAGTCGTCATCCGAGTCCGAGTCCGAGTCTGCGGCGGAGGGGCGGTGGTCTGGTGGTGGCATGGCGGGACCTATGGCTTGTTTCGGAGGAGGTGTTGGGCCTATTGAGGGCTTTGTCT